AATTCTACATTATTTCGAATCAGCAATATGTCATCCACATATACTTATCAGAAATGTTGTAGTGCTCCCACTCACTTTCTTATAAATACAAGTTTCTAGCAAACATTGTATAAACCTAAAAGCTTTGATCACTCCATCAAAACATATATTCTGATTCCGAGATGCTTGCTCTAGTCCATAGAAGGATTGCTGGAGCCAGCATACCTTTTAGCATCCTTAGGATCGTCAAAACCTTTTATTGTATCACATACAACTTTTCTTACGAAAACTGGTAAGAAAACATGTTTTGACATCCATCTGTAAGATTTCATAATCGAAAAATACAGCTAATTCTAACATGATTCCGACGGACTTAAGCATCGCTACGGGTGAGAAATTTTCATCGTAGTCAACTCCTTGAACTTGTGAAAAGACTCTTTCCCACAAGTCGAGCTTCAAAGACGGTAACATTACCGCCCACATCCGTCTTCTTCTTAAAGATCCACATTACCGCCCACATCTGTCTCTAATGCATAACCTCAAAATAATAGCGGTAGATCGGTAAGAGACATCATAGATCGCACCATATCTCATAAGGTTCGATTACAATGTTCGGACACACCATTACCTTGTGGTGTTCCAGGTGGCTTCAACTGCGAAACAACTCCACAATGTCTTAAGTGATTGCCAAACTCATAACTCAGAAAATCCCCTTTTGATCAGATCGTAGGAACATGATCTTCTTTGTTATGATGATTCTTAACTTCACTCTGAAATCGCTTGAACTCTTCAAACGTTTCAGACTTGTGCTTCATTAGGTAGATATACCTATATCTACCCAAATCGTCAGTGAAGATGAGAAAATAGCGATATCCACCGCACGCTTCAATTCTCATTGGATCACACGCATCAGCATGCATGATTTCCAACAAGTCACTTGCCCGTTTCATTGTACCTGAAAACGGGGTCTTAGTCATCCTGCCCATGAGGCATGGCTCGCATGTGTCAAGTGATTCAAAATCAAGTGACTCCAAACATCCATCGACATGGAGTTTCTTCATGCATCTTACGCCAATATGACCTAAGCGGCAGTGCCACGAGAAAGTGGTACTATCATTATTAACTCTACATCTTTTGGCGTGAACATGTGTATTACCACGACCGAGATTCAATGAACCATTCACATAGGGTGCATGACCATGAAAGGTATCATTCATGTAAACAGAATAATCATTATTCTCTAACTTAAATGAACGACCGTATTGCAATGAACATGATCTAATCATATTCATGCTCAACGTAGACACCTGATAACATTTATCTAGGCTCAATACTAATCCTGAAGGCAGATGGAGCGTGCGATGGTGATCTCATTAACTTTGGAAACACTTTGAATACACATCGTCACCTCGCCCTTAGCCAGTCTTTGTTTAGTCCGTAGCTTTTGCTTCAAGTCACCAATAATGGCAACTGAACCGGTATCCAATACCCAGGTGCTACCAGGAGTACTAGTAAGGTACACATTAATAACACGTATATACTTTTTTGAAGTTGCCAGCCTCCTTATCTACCATGCATTTGGGGTAATTCCGCTACCAGTGACCGTCCCCTTTACAATAGAAGCACTTAGTCTCGGGTTTGGGTTCAACCTTGTGTTCCTTCACTGGAGCGGCAACTGGTTTGCCATCCATGAAGTTTCCCTTCTAGCCCTTGCCCTTCTTGAAACCAGTGGTCTTGTCAAACCATCAACACTTGATGCTCCTTCTTGATTTCTACCTTTTGCGGTCTTAAGCACCGCGAACAGCTCTCGGATCAACTCCATCCCTTGCATGTCATAGTTCATCACGAAGATCTAGTAGCTTAGTGATAGTGGCTAGAGAACTCTATCAATCACTATCTTATCTGTAAGTTTAACTCCCACCTGATTTAAGTGATTGTAGCACCCAGACATTCTGAGCACATGCTCACTAACTGAGCTATTCTCCTCCATCTTGTTGGCAAAATAACTTGTCAGAGGTCTCACACCTCTCAACACGGGCATGAGCCTGAAATCCCAATTTCAGCTCTTGGAACATCTCATATGTTCTATGGCGTTCAAAACGTCATTGGAATCCCGATTCTAAGCCATAAAGTATGGTGCACTAAACTATCGAGTAGTCATCAGGATGTGTCTGTCAGGTGTTCTCAACATCCACAGACGACGTTGTGGGGCTTTGCACATCGAGCGGTGCATCAAAGACGTAAGCCTTCTGTGTAGGAGTAAGGACACTCCTCGGACTACGGACCTAGTCCGCATCATTGCTTACAATATCTTTCAACTTAATCTTTCTCTAGGAACGTATTGAAACAGGGAGCTACAACGTGAGCTATTTATCTACAATATATTTGTAAAGAAAATTTAGACTATGTTCATGATAATTGAGTTCATCTAATCAAATTATTTAATGAATTCCCGCTCAGATAGACATCCCTCTAGTCATCTAAGTGAAACATGATCCGAATCGACTAGGCCGTATCCGATCATCACGTGAGACGGACTAGTCATCAACGGTGAACATCTCATGTTGATCGTATCTTCTATACGACTCATGTTCAACCTTTCGGTCTTCCGTGTTCCGAGGCCATGTCTATACATGCTAGGCTCGTCAAGTGAACTTAAGCGTATTGCGTGTGTAAATCTGGCTTACACCCGTTGTATTCGAACGTTAGAATCTATCACACCCGATCATCACGTGGTGCTTCGAAACGACGAACCTTCGCAACGGTGCACAGTTAGGGGGAACACTTTCTTGAAATTATTGCAATGGATCATCTTATTTAAGCTACCGTCATTCTAAGCAAATAAGATGTAAAACATGATAAACAACACATGCAATCAAATAGTGACATGATATGGCCAATATCATTTTGCTCCTTTTGATCTCCATCTTCGGGGCTCCATGATCATCGTTGTCACCAGCATGACACCATGATCTCCATCATCATGATCTCCATCATCGTGTCTTTTTGAAGTTGTCTCGTCATCTATTACTTCTACTACTATGGCTAACACTTTAGCTATAAAGTAAAGTAATTACATGACGTTTATGTTGACACGCAGGTCATAAATAAATTAAGACAACTCCTATGGCTCCTGCCGGTTGTCATACTCATCGACATGCAAGTCGTGATTCCTATTACAAGAACATGATCAATCTAATACATCACATATATCATTCATCACATCCTTTTGGCCATATCACATCACAAGGCATATGCTGCAAAAACAAGTTCGACATCCTCTAATTGTTGTTGCAAGTTATTACGTGGCTGCTATAGGTTTCTAGCATGAATGTTTCTTACCTACGCGAAAACCACAACGTGATATGCCAATTTCTATTTACCCTTCATAAGGACTCTTTTCATTGAATCCGATCCGACTAGAGTGGGAGAGACAGACACCCGCTAGCCACCTTATGCAACTAGTGCATGTCAGTCGGTGGAACCAGTCTCACGTAAGAATACGTGTAAGGTCGGTCTAGGCCGCTTCATCCCACGATGCCGCCGAATCAAGATAAGACTAGTAACGGTAAGTAAATTGACAATATCGACGCCCACAACTGCTTTGTGTTCTACTCGTGCATAGAAACTACGTATAGACCTAGCTCATGATGCCACTGTTGGGGATCGTAGCAGAAATTTAAAATTTTCTATGCATCACCAAGATCAATCTATGGAGTAATCTAGCAACAAGGGGAAGGAGAGTGCATCTACATACCCTTGTAGATCGCTATGCGGAAGCGTTCAAGTGAACGGGGTTGATGGAGTCGTACTCATCGTGATCCAAATCACCGATGATCCTAGCGCCGAACGGACGGCACCTCCGCGTTCAACACATGTACGGTTGGGAGACGTCTCCTCCTTCTTGATCCAGCATGGTGAGAGGAGAAGTTGAGGGAAAACTCCGACAGCACGACGGCGTGATGGTGATGGAGCTCGTGGTTCTCCGACAGGGCTTCGCCTGCCTCGGAGATGTTCGGGTCCACGCCGCCGCCGCAGAGCGAGGCCACGCCCTTCAACCCGCGGTCACCCTACGCGGCCGCCAAGGTCGCCGCGCACTGGTACACCGTCAACTACCGCGAGGCGTACGGCCTCTTCGCCTGCAACGGCGTGCTCTTCAACCACGAGTCCCCCCGGCGCGGCGAGAACTTCGTCACCCGCAAGATCACCCGCGCCATCGGCCGCATCAAGGTCGGGCTCCAGACCAAGGTCTTCCTCGGCAACCTCTCCGCCGCCAGGGATTGGGGCTTCCCCCCGCTGGACCCTGTTATCTAAGCACGCTGGATCCTCATTATCCTAGGACGGAGGGCAGCGCAGGTGGTGGGACTCGCCGGCCGGTGGGGGCAGAGCGGCGGAGTGCACTTAAGGTGTTCGTGGAAATGAGAGAGAGAGAGAGAGAGAGGAGGAAGAAGATTGATGCTGACAGGTGGGCCCAAGCGGTCAGATTTGTGCTTAGCACGGGCTAAGCGAGCGATTTCGCGACTTGGTAGTTTTTTGCCACGGATTAGGAAAAAATTGGTAGTTTTTGGGACAAAATCGTAAAGTGGTAGTTTTTCGTCACGGTTCCGTGAATTATGGTAGTTTTTGGTTAAATACTCTTACATTACGGTGATCTCCAGGTTCAGTCAGCGGTCTTCTTGTAGGTATACCACCGTGCGACGAGCAGGTACACGCTGAAGTTGCCGATGCAGAGCATGGCGAGCAGCCAGAAAAAGTAGTCCAGATGGCCGTCGTTGATATCGTCGGGGATCCACCCGGGCCGCCCGCCCCTCGTCATTGCGCGCACCACGACGGCCACGAGCGCCGAGCTCGCGTAGTTGCCCAGCGCAAACGCCGCGCTGGAGAGCCCCGAGCAGACGTTCCGCATGGCGTCCGGCGCCTGGTCATAGAAGAACTCCATCTGCCCGATGAACGTGAACACCTCTGCGGCACCCACCACCACGTACTGCGGCACCTGCCAGAAGATCGACATCGGCACATACCCCGCGCCGTCCTCGCCGGTGTAGGTGCCGTGGCGCGCGACGACGCGGCGCCGCGCCACCTCGAGCGTGCCGGCGGCGAGCATGGCAACAGTGAGGATGACGAAGCCCACACCCATGCGCCCCAGCTGCGTGAACCCGCGGCGGTGGCCCGTGAGGCGGCGCGCGAGCGGCACGACGGCGCGGTCGTAGAGCGGCACCCAGAGCATGACGCTGAGGGTGTCGAAGACGGTGAGCACGGCGGGGGGCACGCGGAAGCTGCCGACGCGCGGGTCCAGCGTGTCACCCTGGAGGATGAAGGTGGTGGTCATCTGCGTGTAGGCGGCCGCGAAGATGATGCCGCACGCCCACACCGGCAGCAGTCGGAGCACGCACTTGAGCTCCTCCACCTGCGTCACGGTGCACAGCCGCCACGGGCTCGCCGGCCGCGCCTTGTCGCCCGCCGTCTCCACCGCCGCCTTGTCCAAGAACCTGAGTGATCGACAGCAACCGAGCGGTGCAACAGATTAATAATATTTTACTTCCAAAAATCCACCAGCATTACTTTCAGTTTACATATGTCACATTGTTATTTCAATTTCATAAAAATATTTGACATTTCACCAGTAGCACTTTCAGTTTAGATATTCACACATCACAAAAATCCTATTTCAATTCTTTCAAAAACATATTCACAAACTGGTTTCAATTATTTGAAACATCCACTTAAATTATTTCAAACCATACATTTCAGTTATTTGAAAAACATATTTCAATAGGATCAATTTCATATTTTTCGCAATTATTCAGTTCATCCATTTCAATTATTTCAGAACATATTTCAGTTTTTCAAAAAAAAAGGGATTTCACTTATTCCGGGTAAGACTCCACTACTTAAAAAAAAGTGAGTTCATCCCTTTCGGTAATTTCATAACATATTTCACTTTTCCAAACTTAAAAAAATCACTCTTCTGAAACATATCAATCTCACTAAAACCTTCACTCCTTCTCGAATACACTCATTGGTCCTATTCTAAGCAGTTCCCCACACTAGAATAAATTTAGTGAAATATGTGGATTGAAATGTTGAAATTTGAACATGTTTGAATTGTATCCAAATTGACTTTACTTGAAATGTCTTGACGCTAGGAGTTGAAATATACATAAAGTTTCAAAAATGTAATTGTGGTTTAAAATATCTGAATGGTTTAAATTAGCAAAGATGAAATAATGTCTTTGTGGGTTGTAGACTAGAACCGATTCTAGCTTTTTTTTCCTCGGCATGAGCATGCTACAATGACTTACCATGAGGTTTGTTGCTCTTAGATTTTGTGGCGTCAAGTTTTGATCGACAATCGACATTGACCATGCCCTACTAGCACCCTGTAAATCTACTTTTTTGTCAATTGCTATTCTTTAATTATCAAATTTTGTCTGGGTCCAATTCAATTATGTGGTCGGTGCAAACGAGGTAGTAAAGGGATGGAGACATGGTAGGGGTGGTGGCATGGATTGGGAGGGGGCGCGAAGCTGTCCGCGTCGGGTGGCAAAATGGTGGTTAGGCCCCTGGCAGTGGGCCTCTTGACAACAAGGGGTGAAGGGGGTCGACGGCGATGAGGGAAGGAAAGTGACCGAAACTAGAAAACAAAAACATCACCTAAAAGAATAGTCAGTCTTTTTTCCGTTGAAGCAACTTCCTTGGACTTTTGCTGCATTATTGTGGTTATCAATTCAACAAAAGATATGAGTGTGATGATTCGGTGTGTGAACAGTAAAATCAAATAAAATACTCGCAGCGGCAATTAATGTGGATCGAAGGAAGAAGTAAAAAAGATCTGATATTTTTTTGGCATCAAAGATACTCAAATGTGTGATGTGGGTGCTAAAATTCATGGTGTTTGGACATTCGAAGAGGTCAGGGCACACTCATGCAGGAGCGTGACGTTGGTCAGGGTCTCCACGTCACACTTCCTGGAAGTGGCGAGCATCTTGTGAATTCACAAGAATAAGAATGTGGCTAACTCTTATCTAGACGAGACTTAACTATATCTCATCTAACTCCTACACTATTTGATTTTACGCGGAGATTCATATGAATTTTTATTTTTTATTTCACTAATCAGATGATGTAACAGTTAGATGATACTTTGGTAATTCTCATCAGCAAATCTGCACAAACAAGATGCTCAGATTTACTATGGGTTGAATTTTAACAAAAGATAATGTTGGGCAGCTACTGTGAAGAGTGGATGACACCGAGATTAGGTTTGGTCCAGGTTGGCTGATTAGCTTGCTCAATCAGTCACACAGCATGTTTCAATCATAGACAAAATAAATTGAACGCTCCTTTCTCAAAAAACTGCACATGATGGAGACGATGCAAGTGGAAGGCGATGCTAACGACGGCCAGGGCACGGGAACTGACCTGAACTCGTCAGTGTGCGCGAGGCGGCGGCTCCCCTGAATCACTGACATGCCGTCGTCCCCGTCACACTCGTGCAGCAGCGTGGCGTCGGTCGGGATCTCCACGTCGCACTTCCTGGCGGCGGCGACCACCACCTGCGCGATCCTGGTGAGCGGGCTGCCGCCGGGGGGCTGGTGGCGGCGGTACGCGCCCGTGCCGGCGAGGAACAGAGCGACGGCGAGCACGCTGAGCAGCGCCGGGATGCCGTAGCCGAGCCGCCAGCCGTGGGCGGACTGCACCCACACCAGGACGGTGCCGCCCACGAGCGAGCCCACGACAATGGACAGGTAGAACCAGTTGAAGAAGGAGCTCTGCCGCCGGCGCTCCTCCTCGTCGGACTCGGCGTCGAACTGGTCGGCCCCGAACGACGACAGGACCGGCTGCAGCGCGCCGCCCAGCGCCACCAGGTACAGCCCCGCGTAGAACACCGCGCTCGCCGCCACGACGCCGTACCCCGCGACGGAGATGAAGAGGAAGAGGGTGATGGTCCAGTACCTGCCGAGGAAAGAGTCGGCGAGGAAGCCGGCCGCGAGCGGCGTGATGGAGGCGGTGCCCTGCCAGTTGGTGACGCTGTTCGCCGCGGCCTTGCTGCCGGAGTGCAGCTGGACCTTGAGGAAGTTCACCAGGTTCGTCGACACGCCGTAGTAAGCGCTGTACTGGAGGCAGTTGTTCACTGCACACCACGCGCGCGTGAATGCATGAGCAGCATATTTAGCGTGGATCTAGGTGGATCATAGCGACAAGAAGAAAGTGGTGCAAGTTTTACCGAGGATGAAAACGTAGCCCCACGAACTCCGGCGATCCCTCGTGGACGTCCGGCGATCGGGGTCACCCTGCAGGCCTTTTGATTCGAAACGGAACCAGCTGAAGCAAAAGAGAGGAGGAACATTAGCCTGAATGAGGGTCGAACCTGTACACGCTCCCAGGCGTGAGACCTCTTCTTCTGTCCTTCTTTGGTCTCCGCCGCCGCATGGTACAGTGGTTGCGTTCTCTGACGCCGCTGTTTGTGAGGGGCTGGGCATGTCCAGTTTGGAGTGGTGATTCTCAACCATGAGGGGAATTGTGTGGCTGCGTGCTCTGAACCTTTAAGGGGCGTGCGTTCTTCGGAGTTGGCTGGAGCAATGGCTCTTCGGCGCGCTGTCAGCTTAGTCCGGGAGGAGGGTTTTACCGATGTCCTTTTCAAGTCTGATTGTCTTTCGTGTTCCTTCTCGTTTTCTCCTCTTGTCTTTTCGTGAGTTATAAATAGGCTTTGCCTCCTGTGATCTCCTAGTGTTACGTGGGCTTTGTTTCTTCTCTTCCATCTACATTGATTGAATTACATGGTTTGTTCTTCTCCTAGCTGTAATGGTCCAGGCCCAGCCTCCTCGGTTGCGTGGGGCTGTGGTTGGTCTGCGTGCTTCTGCTGGAGCAGTCCCCGCCGTCCAGGTCGGCCTCCTGCTATACGTGATGCTGTTGTTGGGCGTCGTGGTGGCTGCGGTGTTGTGCGGGGCCGTTCTGCATTCATGGCGGATGTCGTCGCCGTTGTCGTTGCTGGGATCGATGCCTTCAGCCATCGAGGAGGACTGTTGCGACAACTGCGGCTTTTCTCATGGTGGTCTCAGAGATGGCGATCATGTCCTTGCACCGGCGGAGGCCGTAGCCCGAGAGGGACGACCAGAGAGACCCGGCCTTGGAGCGAACTGCCACGAGCTCCTTTGAGTTTGCCCAATATTGTGTGAGCGCCGCGGCCAGAATTTGAGGTGCGTGTTAACTCTTCCTCCTCAACTCGAGAGCTCCGCGGGAAGCATCTCACTGTCTGCTGCGTGCGCGAAGTAGTCCTGTTTTCTCTCTTTGCCATGCAGAATAATGGTGGTAGCAGTAGCTGCCTGGTCTATTGCTACCCGCAAACTTTTGTGCTAGCTGCTCATTTAGCCCTTAGCTTGATGTTTTCCAGTTCAGGGTTTGTACATTGGATGATCTTGTAGTAGTTAACAACTAAGGAGAGTCTTTAACGCCCAGGGAAAGTATCAGGTGATACGGAGCCTTAGATGCTCCCATGATACGAGCTCATAGGAGTCGTTGGATCTCAGATCCAACAGTTCCGGGAGGCTTTGAACATTTTTGCAAAAAAGACCTTTTGAAGTCTAAAAATTGCGAACAAGTATTGTAGCCTTCAAAACCACCTAGGAGCCGTTGGATCTGAGATCCAACGGACAAGAAGCTCGTATCATGGGAGCATCTAAGCCTTGGTATCACCTGATACTTTCCCTTAACGCCCATGCTTTTGTTGGGGATCGTAGCAGAAATTTAAAATTTTCTACGCATCACCAAGATCAATCTATGGAGTGATCTAGCAACGAGGGGAAGGAGAGTGCATCTACATGCCCTTGTAGATCGCTAAGTGGAAGCGTTCAAGTGAACGGGGTTGATGAAGTCGTACTCGCCGTGATCCAAATCATCGATGATCCTAGCGCCAAACGGACGGCACCTCCGCGTTCAACACACGTACGGTTGGGAGACGTCTCCTCCTTCTTGATCCAGCAAGGTGGGAGGAGAAGTTGAGGGAAAACTCCGACAGCACGACGGCGTGGTGGTGATGGAGCTCGTGGTTCTCCGGCAGGGCTTCGCCAAGCACTACGGAGGAGGATGAGGTGTTGGAGGAGGAAGAGGGCTGCGCCAGGGGAAGGGTGCGGCAGCCCTCTCTCTCCCTCACTATATATAGGGGGAAGGGAGGAGGGGGGGCGCCCTAGGGTTCCCTAGGGGAGGGGCGGCGGCCACAGGGGAAACCCTAGATGGGTTTGGGCGCCCCCACCCCCTAGGAAACTTGCCCCCAAAGCCGGGAGGGGCGGCTGCCCTAGGGGTGGCGCCCCCACCTCTCCTGGTTACGTGAGATGGTGTGGGAGGGGTGCTCAGCCCCTTAGTGGGCTGATGTGCCCTCTCCCCTTGGTCCATAAGGCCCCCCAACGCTTGCCGGGGCCTCCGAAACCCCTTTCGGACACGCTGGTCATCACCTGGTACCCCCGGAACAATTCCGGACTCCAATACCCTTCGTCCAATATACCGATCTTCACCTCCGGACCATTCCGGAGCTCCTCGTCATGTCCAGGATCTCATCCGGGACTCCGAACAACCTTCGATAACCACATACTATTTCCCATAACAACTCTAGCGTCGCCGAACCTTAAGTGTGTAGACCCTACCACTAGTAGAAAAAGGGTCAAACGTGAAGCACATTAGTGCCGGTTTGTATTTGAGCCGGCACTAATGTATACATTAGTGCCGGTTCCAACGGCTAGCCGTGCCGCTTTCATTAGTACCGGTTCGTGGCGAACCTTTAGCACCGGTTCATGCCACGAACCGATACTAATGAGAGTGGTGGCTGGATGTTATCAGACTGGGGCCCCTCCAGCCCCTTTAGTACCGGTTCTTGGCACGAACCGGTACTAAAGGTCGTCCTACATAAACCCTTCGTCCACCCGAGCTCGCTCTGTTCTTCCCCTTTCCCCTCTCCTCTCTCTGTTCTTCCCCTCTTCCTCTCGAGCTCATCACACATTTTGCCCAAAATTTGTCAAGATTTGAAGGCCCCCATCCATTCAAATGATCACAAAGGTTAGCAACTTTGTCCTTTCATCTCTCATTGCTAGATTAGCTCTTGCAATGCTTTATATAGTGATTAATTTGTGAGTTTAGTAATTTGGGAGGATATATATATATGTGCTAGTATTTGATTTATATGCAATTTGAGGTCAAAAATAACACTTAGTTTGCATATGTAGGTGTGATTTACTTAGTGCCTTCTAAATCTCCTCGTAACCACCGTCGATCGCCCGCACCGTCCCGTCGCCGGCACCACCTTGTGGTGAGCCTCTTGTTCATGAAATTTTATATAAAAATTGATGTTTGTGTGATTTGGATATATAGTTATGTTGGGGAACGTAGCATAAATTCAAAATTTTCCTACGTGTCACCAAGATCAATCTATGGAGTCATCTAGCAACGAGGGAGGAGTGGATCTACATACCCTTGTAGATCGCGCGCGGAAGCGTTCAAGAGAACGGGGTTGATGGAGTCGTACTCGTCGTGATCCAAATCACTGATGATCCTAGCGCCGAACGGACGGCACCTCCGCGTTCAACACACGTACGGAGCAGCGACGTCTCCTCCTTCTTGATCCAGCAAGGGGGAAGGAGAGGTTGATGGAGATCCAGCAGCACGACAGCGTGGTGGTGGAAGTAGCGGGATTCCAACAGGGCTTCGCCAAGCGTCGCGGGAGGAGGGAGATGTGTCATGGGAGGGAGAGGGAGGCGCCAGCGCTTAGGTTGGTGCTGCCCTCCCTTCCCCCCACTATATATAGGGCCAAGGGAGAGGGGGGCGCAGCCTTGGCCCTTCCTCCAAGGAAGGGTGCGGCCAGGGAGGAGTCCCTCCTCCCCAAGGCACCTCGGAGGTGCCTTCCCCCTTTAGGACTCTTCCTTTTCCTCTTCTCTTGGCGCATGGGCCTCTTGGGGCTGGTGCCCTTGGCCCATATAGGCCAAGGCGCACCCCCTACAGCCCATGTGCCCCCCGGGGCAGGTGGCCCCACCCGGTGGACCCCCGGGACCCTTCCGGTGGTCCCGGTACAATACCGGTGACCCGAAACTTGTCCCGATGGCCGAAATAGCACTTCCTATATATAATTCTTTACCTCCGGACCATTCCGGAACTCCTCGTGACGTCCGGGATCTCATCCGGGACTCCGAACAACTTTCGGGTTACCGCATATTAATATATCTATAACCCTAGTGTCATCAAACCTTAAGTGTGTAGACCCTACAGGTTCGGGAGACATGCAGACATGACCGAGATGACTCTCCGGTCAATAACCAACAGCGGGATCTAGATACCCATGTTGGCTCCCACATGTGCCACGATGATCTCATCGGATGAACCACGATGTCAAGGACTTTATCAATCCCGTATACAATTCCCTTTGTCTAGCGGTACGATACTTGCCCAAGATTCGATCGTCGGTATCCCGATACCTTGTTCAATCTCGTTACCGGCAAGTCTCTTTACTCATTCCGTAACACATCATCCCGTGATCAACTCCTTGATCACATTGTGCACATTATGATGATGTCCTACCGAGTGGGCCCAGAGATACCTCTCCGTTTACACGGAGTGACAAATCCCAGTCTCGATTCGTGCCAACCCAACAGACACTTTCGGAGATGCCCGTAGTGTACCTTTATAGCCACCCAGTTACGTTGTGACGTTTGGCACACCCAAAGCACTCCTACAGTATCCAGGAGTTGCACAATCTCATGGTCTAAGGAAATGATACTTGACATTAGAAAAGCTTTAGCATACGAACTACACGATCTAGTGCTATGCTTAGGATTGGGTCTTGTCCATCACATCATTCTCCTAATGATGTGATCCCGTTATCAACGACATCCAATGTCCATGGTCAGGAAACCGTAACCATCTATTGATCAACGAGCTAGTCAACTAGAGGCTTACTAGGGACATGGTGTTGTCTATGTATCCACACATGTGTCTGAGTTTCCTATCAATACAATTCTAGCATGGATAATAAACGATTATCATGAACAAGGAAATATAATAATAACTAATTTATTATTGCCTCTAGGGCATATTTCCAACAGTCTCCCACTTGCACTAGAGTCAATAATCGAGTTCACATCGATATGTGATTAACACTCAAGGTCACATCCCCATGTGACTAACACCCAAAGAGTCTACTAGAGTCAATAATCTAATTCACATCATCATGTGATTAAGACTCAATGAGTTCTGGGTTTGATCATGTTTTGCTTGTGAGAGAGGTTTTAGTCAACGGGTCTGAATCTTTCAGATCCGTATGTACTTCGCAAATTTCTTATGTCATCTTGTAGATGCAACTACTACGCTACATTTGGAGCTATTCCAAATAACTGTTCTACTATACGAATCCAGTTTACTACTCAGAATAATCTGGATTAGTGTCAAAATTTGCATCGGCGTAACCCTTTACGACGAACTATTTTACCACCTCCATAATCGAGAAAATTCCTTAGTCCACTAGTTACTAAGG